CGCAAATCTTTCAATTTGAACTGTAATTTCACTGAATGTTGAGTACAGATTTGCTTTATTGAAATGCGAATTTGGTATAGCATATATGCACTCCGAAAGGTGATATTTGTTAAGCTACGGCTAGACTTCATGAAGTCCTAAGTATTAAGAGGTTTCAGGCAAGTAACCTAGAGAAAGGCTCCACACCTTGGCTGAGAGATCAAAACGAAAACACTAGCTGAGTCATTCGCAAGGTGACAGTATAATTCGTATCTGTTATTTTTTTCAACTCGAATGTATGTTATTTGCTGTTCACCGTAATACTCTACCAAGTGGCGTTTTAATTTCTAAACTTTCAACCCTGACTCAAATCTCAAAGCTTACAAAGAATTGGCTCAAATTGCTGATCATTTCCAAGTAGATAAGTTCATAATTCAAATATCCTCTGCTTGAAGTCAAGAATTATTGTGTAAGGATAAGGTGAAGGAAGCCAGAGTTTTCGAAATTTGAACTTCTGCTGTGAGTGATAGGAGGATTGAACTGAAACATCCAATTCTTTTTCTCATCGATTACTTCCAATGGATTCCTTGTTCCAAGTTAGCAGACCAAGAATTCGGGCTGATTAAAAAGAATGCCAATTTTTAAGCTTCAAAAACTAATTGGCTAGGCTTTATCCTTCAATTTTTACTTCCAATTTTGCAAATATAATGGAACGCAAATATGTAATGGCATTTTTAGTGTTTAAGCTTCTAATTTTGAGCAATTCTGAATTAATTACATTATTGCGAACATTTACCGCGACAAAATCATTCCTCCGGAAAAAGTGCTGACTCATTTTTCCTTCGTTTTATTTAGAAGTTTCCGTTAAATTCAGGCTTAGATAAAGCTCGAGGTGTACACTTCCGCAGCTGAAAATGGTACATTTTGGTGAGAATATTGCATCCGACTTAAACCGTTCGAATTTTGTTTTTTTATTTGTTTGTTTTTTTTTCTTTTTTTGTTTCGAAGCACTATCACTTGGAAAAACGCTTGCTGATATATGCGTGCAGTGCATTCCTTTCCTTCCTTCACTTTGTGCATTCAGCTTTCTTATTCTATTCACCACAAACCGTTTCATTTTCAAAAAAACGCGAAAATTTGGGTGTGGAGACGTGCACTACTTCATTTCATCTTGTAATAAAGGACTTTGTGAATTTTTTTGGAAACGGTGCTGCCGTTCCCAGAAGTTAGCTTTCGCTACTGTCTGTTTTGAACTCACATTCGAATAATTTCAATATTTTTCATTGCACCATTCTGGTTTTCAGGATTACGAACAGGAGGCACAAGGAATATTGAGTGACGATCCAAGGCTTGTGGGGCTTGTTGTGGCAATTAAAGAGGCCCAGAAAACCTTGCAGGCAAAAATGGATCTCTTCACTGGCCTGCAGCATTTCTATGACTCATTAGATGCTATTAAACAAGAAAATGAACAGTGGAATTCGATAACATCACAACAGGTTTTATTGCAACTTTGTAAAATTCTGACTTTTTTTTTAAACACAAATTTTTGCATATTTTGTTTTTCGCTACGATAACCGAAATTTATTATTCACTTTGTCCATTATTTATGTGATACATTCTCCTCTGAAATTTTTTCGATTTTGTGAGAAATTGGAAATGACTTCATTTGGAGAAATTGGAAATGACTTCATTTGAAAATTTTTTAAAAGCAGCGTGAGATTTTTTTCCTTAACTTCTGAGTATATGACAAGCATACATGAGCAAATACAGTGTAATTTAAGATGTTACTTTTTCTTCCACTTTTCATTACGCCCTGATTTATCCTTCCGAGTACTATAAGCTTCATCTAATAGAGAACTTGCTAGTAAATATCTACAATAGATTCCAATACATTCCACACGCAGATTACGATAGATCCATTTCCATACAATGATTTTGAGTATTACTGAGTTTTCAAAGATTCCTAGAAATTCCTGAGCGAGGAAATCACTTTTATACTAAATGCAAGAAAGTTTATTTCATAATTTAAATTGTAATACCTATATTTATTATTACAGCTAACCATTTCTGCAAAAAAGTAACGGCCGATTGGGAATAAACTGCTTGACAAAAGCAATGAAGAGAAAATTATTGGTGTATTAATCCGGAAATTTCAGATCGAAGGAGTCTCTGTAAGGCTTGAAGAACTTTTAAAGCTTATTGAAAACGAATGTGCACCTGAGGCCAATGCTTTATGCTCGCAGTTTGAATCTATCCAATCATCTTTTTTTCAGCTAGAATTTGATCGAATTAAGGAAAAGTTAGTTTTTTAGAAATTTTGTACAGCCACTGGTGAATTGTTGAATTTATTGGCGTTTATTTTGTATGGAAGAAGCTCTGTTTGTCGATATATTTGTTATTTGAGATTGCGGATTCTTGTACTACAACTGGACAGGCTGGTGGATTTTATGGCAAAACGAAAGATTCTTTTACTCAAATTCAAAGAATTCCAAAAATTTGTTCAAGATGCTGAGGATACGTTACTCAGAACAATGCATGATGCCTCGATCGGTGTGGAAGTCGACATGCATCGAATTGTTCGGCCCATTGACATTTTATCTGAATTTTGCTATTTTTCATGCAGATAGTTTATCCAACTTTTTACACATATCCATAAAATTATTTTTTCTTCAGAAAACATCACTTCGTGTATACTAGCAGTTCCTTTTTAACTTGTAAAACTTTCTTTTGCAGACGAACGAAATGAGTGCAATGTTCGATAAATTGGATAATTTGGGAAAAGAGCTTACAGCTTGTCAACTTGATGCAAAAATTACAATTGCCGATATATCAGTTGTTGACGCCATAAACAGAATAAAAAATATTTCCCTGGATGCCAGTTCCACAGTGAGATTTTTTCTGTTTGAATAATATTGAAACTGCTTCATATAATTAAGGTCATCAATCTATTCATCTGAATTGCTAATGACTTATTCTGTTGGATAATATGCATATCTGTTTTTATTTTAGTACTATTCCCACAGCTTGCAGTTCTCGCTGCAGAAATTTGGGTATGTAGAAATGGAATGAGTAACTATACAAGCGTTGACTAAAATTAGCTTTTAGCTGTTTAGCCATTTATTAAATATAGGATGAATCAATGGGGTTCTCGAAGCGTTTCCAAGAATTTTTCGATGTATCGAGTCAGTTGGAGGGTGCATTCTGTACGGATATTTATACTTGCGAACATTTGGATGGCGTTGTTGAGTTCATCACTATTTCAATTGGTTTTTTTTTTTTCACTTGATTTCAATTATCAGGCAGTGAATGTGCATAGTTTCACAAAGTTTATTAGCAGCATGCGGTGTTTTTCCGAATCTCTAAGCATTATGAATCTATCAATGGATTGATGGATGTTTTGACTAGTTTTGAGAAATCTGATTTTTGTTATTGGGAGAGGGAAGTTACTGAAAGACTGAGATCGACTTTGTAAGGTAAAATGTAGGAGAATGGCAAGAAGGAAGCTGAACTGATGGTTCGACTAGAAACAATTGCTGACGATCTTATTGCTCAGGAAAAGTCTAAAGCAAATGATGTAAGTGGAAATTGCTAAAATTTTATTTTACGTAGACCGCAGTAGTTAGATGCTTTGAATACAGCATTATAAGGATTTGTAAATTACCATAAATATGATTAATATAACGATGAAATGTAAATACAGAAAGATAGCCAATCATTGTTGCTATGGAGATTACGATTTTACTTCTCTCTTTCTTGGCAATACATTACTTTTTAATTATTAGCGGTACTTTTTGTGTGCTGTACAGAGTGGTTGTATCTCAGAGCTATTGTAAGCGAAGTGTAGTGAGCATTTATTGAAATCTAAATCGAATATTCATTCGATTCCGGAGCTCCTGTTTTATTTTTGAAGATGAATTTGGATGATAGAAGCATCTATCTTTTAATTATATGGTTAGTCAGCAAATAAAGATTGAACTGGCAAAGAAATGAAGAAATGAAGGAAATTAAGTGAAGAAGTGAATAAATTGTAGGCAACAAGAAATAAGAGTAGGGATTATAAATTAATTAACCATTTTATTTTGAGATTCTTTCGAAGCTGAAACGAATAATGGACAAACGACAAGAAGTCCGACGAGTAACAGTGGAAGATTGTGTGGAACGATGGTTGATTCTCCTAACACAAAAAGAAGATGAGTTGGAAACAGTTATTGAGCGTGATATTAATGATCAAAATATGGATGCTTTTCAAATTGACGAAGTCACGAAGTGGATTCCCTGGAAAAAAGAACTTGATCAGGCTTGTCGTTTATTCATTCTTTCATGGTAAAAGTCGATAATCTTATCGTTTTAGTCGATAATCTTATCGACTGATTTCTACAGTTCTTAGCCATATGCGTTCCCTTCAAGAGCGCGGATAAATTGTACAATAGATTCTAAAAATCGATTTATAAGTATTGTAGTCGTTTCTTATAACTGTTTTCACTGGTTAGCGTTACTCTGTTCACTATCTAACATTTTTTATTAAACTCGGAAAATATTTCAACTCCTGTTATGAAAATCTTCGTTTCCAGGAGTTCAGATACAAACAAATAAAAAGAAAAAACGGTTAAAATTAAACAGTGAATGCAGTTATTACACAGGAATCTGAAATTCGTATTTAGAAAATAGGAGTTTTCCTAGCTGCAGACGTTTTAATAAGTCTCGGATTTGAGATTTCACATTTATTAAAACTGACATTCGAAAGGCCTTTTTTTTTTTAAACAAATTTTAATGCTGCAGATGATCTCATTGCATAATGTAAGTCTTAAATCATGCTGATTTCGTCGTCCTGGACCTCTTTTGAATTCTCACTTAATTTAAATCTTTCATTCAATTTAAATTTTTAGTTAACATTGCTGATCAAAAATAACAATATTCAATGGCGAAAATCATTTGATGAACTTGTCGAAAAGGCAGCCAATTTTGACGTTCGAATTGTGCTTTTCAAGAACACATTTGTCAAAGCTAAACATCGTGAGCAGCGAATATATGCAAAGCTGGCTCCATTTGCTAAGTGGATTGATTTGATGGAGGAAGATCTTAATCAAGCAGAATCTTCGGATGATACATTCGAGAAGGAGGAAAGGTTTGTTTTTTAGGGTGTTCTAAGATTTTTTCTGCATAAAGGTGGATTATTTTTATGATGTATTGCAACCGCTAGATGCATCTTGTGTTCGTATTTGAAATTCGTAATTCAAAATTTTTTTATTCTTCATTCTTTATATAGATTTTTGAAGCTATCCTAAGACGCTTTCAACGTTTTTTAGCGAATGAAATAGTTCGAATCTCGAATTTCTTACAAAAAATCCAAAAATATTACGAGTGTGTTCATGTGATTAAATTGTCTCTGATTAACCTGGCTCTGTTAATAAAAAAAAAATTCCTGAATCAATTTCACTAAATCATAGCAACAGTGTGGTTTTCAGACTTCGCAATATTTATATTATTTGTTTATCACATCAGAAATTGGTTGATAAACTGTTAAGTTGCAAACTTAATCCACCACAATCAAATGAAATCAAATTTCATTGTGATCGGTATTTCACATTGTTGCATCGAACTGCCTCGTGGAATTTTCCTGAGGGACAAGCAATTTCAACACATCTATCAGATCTACCTTCATCATTGATGCTGTCTCAGGTGTATTTTGGTTCATTGTGGAATTTAGGTTACTATAAGCAATTTGTAACTGTATATAAAAGAATTAGCGTTTCACTGTTTCAGTGGGCACATCCTATACATTTACACTTGGAGATTTTTCAGTGTACGTGGGACTCCTGGTATTTTAGGGACTAATTTAGCTGCAGAACAGTCATTGAATTAGAAATGTTCAAATTAATGAGGAAACAGCTTGGCTTATGAAATCTTGCTTGATGATAAGTAAAAATATGATAAATAAAAGTGGAAAAAGAGGAACTTTCGAATCTTATTGGTTGGAATTTTTGTAATTCATGGTTTAAGTTATGAATGAAAGAAGACAGGCAATACTATATTTTTGTTTGGTACTAATAATACTTTGGTTGTCAAAACTGTTGAAAACTCTTCAGAGAGCATCAGATTAGCAACAATTTCATTTTTTGCAGATTTCTGTTAGTTCATTGTCGGCTTCTGGAATTGATGAGGATGAAAGTCACTGTATAGAAGTGACATCGTGCGAAAGAACTAGCTCTGCCTTCGCTTTAGTAATTTTTTTTTCCAGATTTTGAATCTTTCAAAATTCTGATACCAAACTTTTGTTGTTTAACACTTACGAATTTAAACTTTCCATCTTATTTTACATTTGAACTCTGCTCAATATCACATTCTTCAAATCCAGTACACCAGTTAGCCCTCATTCATAATGATCTAGTCATAAGGATAAACTAGGAATAGACTGTGAATGTAACTCCTTTTAATTTCCCTACTTGCAATGAGTATTTGTTTTTTCTTTTCGAGAATTTCATAAAATCCTGTGATGCTTGACCGGAAAAAGAGGAACTGCTGAATAATGTTAGAGCATGCCACAACACAGCTTCTAGAAGTTGAAGAGTTGGAGATAGTGCGTTAAACCAAAACTGATCCAAAATAGCAGTGGTTGTAGCATCTAAAATTTAAAATTTGAATTAGACATAATGTGTTTTTTGGATGTAAATACAGTTACGGAAGGTACTTGCTAAATGACCCTACTAGGGATAAGCGAAGTTCGACAGCAGACCATCCTTCTGTTACGACCGAGGAATTAAGCTCTATTTGGTGAATAACTTCTTACTTTTATCAAGTATTTTGGGCTTACACTGTGATTTCAGACAGAACGGGTATTACAAGTAAAAGAAACCCCTGAAATACGACTTTTATTGTCGGACATTGATTCCGAATTGAATATATTGGCCGATTCGTTGACTAAGTTGAATGCTGATTACGCTCAGTCACTTAAACCGTTAAGCAGTGCTCAAGCTGATATGGAAAAACTGAGGGTAGTTCATTCTTTTTTAATTTCTTATCTCTGCAAAAGGCTTTCTGAGAGTTGTTAGGCCATCAGACAATAAATGCCTGTGGGCAAAAGATCTGATGGACAATAATACAAGCACACTATACCAGGAATTATACTGGGTATCTCTGGTGACTTTGTGCTAGAAGAGTGATGTTATATTGTGGCTAAACGAAATAAGTAAAATACACGTGAAATTGGCAATTTTGCACAGAATCAATTTTTAGATTTGTTGATATCTCTTAATTGGTTTTAGTTAAAATTAAGTCTATTTGGAGTTCAGCAAGTTAATCAGTTCCGCTTAAAGGATCTCAATAAGAGAAGGTGTCAGCTGGTTACTGCCTGTGATAATCTTTCACGTAAGGTTTCCGGTGATGATTTTTCCGTCGTTCGTTCGTTAGTGCTACATCTGCATTCGCTGGAAGAACCGTATATGGTATTTAGTTTTCTTATTTATAATAAATTTCAGAAATTAAAAGGATTATTTCTTTTACAACGAGCATATATCAAAGAAGTTTCCACCATTTCAAATTTATCCTTTACATATGAGACAGCATGAGCACGAGTTCTACGTGTGTGTATATAGTATGTAAAGTTACTAAAATTTGGTTGGCGATAAAGTTTTCTTTACTTAGAGTCGCAGTGAACTCTACTTAGAGTCTGTTCACAATTTTCTTGCGAATAATGTTAAAATTTGATTTCGAAATAATCATATGATAAAAGATCTGTCTACGAAAGTTTTATTTGCAGCGGAACAGTTATCCAGCCAAAAAGCTTGAAAATTAACTCAGGAGAGGTTTAAAATAAATCCCTTTAGGCATATATCAAAATAATATATGTTATTTCATAGACATTCATGCGAGAATTGCAAAAAGAAATCGATGATGAGATAACGTCACAAGCAAATTACGATAATATCGCCAAAAAACTCAATGAGCTGAATATCAATATTGACCAGCGTGCTCGAAATGCCATTCAAGATGTATATACATTTGCTTAAAGGAAATTTATTTTTAATCCTGCGTGTTTGTATCAAGCTAGGGAAATATTTAGGCTCCTCTTCCTGAATGGTAGTATACAATTATTTCCCTCTTCTGATCGGACAACTTTTTAGATCTCTATAGATAAGGAAAGCGTCATAAAACGCTTACTCAAATTTGAAAATTGAACTTTAACAGAAGGAATCCAAATGAATAATATCTAAATCCTCAGGTTCGAAATGACTTGGAACACGTGCAGTGCGACTTGAATTCACTACGAGTACAATGCTCGCAACGGCGGAAATATGTAGAGAATATGTTGGAAAGTGTTTCATCTAGTACAACTTGTAGTAATTGCTCAAGACGAAAGAAGATTATGCTTATGGTTTCCACAACTGTAACAACTATAATCCAGGTCGCAAAACTCAAATCAATACAGTTCTTATGGTTCAAAGACTAGCAAAAATTTTGGATAAAGTATTACAACGCTTAATATGACCTCACAAAATGGGCTCATTCAAATTGTAACATACTAGTACAAATCCGGAACACTTCACACTAATAAGAGATTAAACCCAATATTTACAGGTTGTCGAGGACGAATTACGACGTTCATCCAACATTAAACAAAACGATCTCTTAGAGTTGAAACAGAAGCTACAAGACGTGAACACCTGTATCGCTGATGAGACCGGTGCAACTGCGGTGGGTACACCTCTCAGCAGTACCACGGATGAAGAGGTTCAATTTGAAATCCATATATAAACCTGAAGTGCTTATCAGTGAAATTATTTATTCAAAACACTTGCAGGAATCACGAAGGTTGGAGCACAAAAAAGAACAAATGAGGATGATGCAATCTGAGCTTGCAAAATTGGAAGAGCAAATATCTTCGGCTAATCAGTTGCTAGCATATGATGTAGATCTAAAGGATGTCAATAATCCAGAAGATATTGGAGAAAAAGCGAGAAATATTGAAAATATGGAGCAATTAATAGTTTTAGCATTGGATAAGTTGAAAGATAATGATCGTAGTATGATGACTAACGAACAACGTATTAATATGGAAAAGATGTTGGATGAAGCAATGCCTCTTATCGATAAGCTGCGTATTTTACGGGAATATATCATAGCTGAAAAGGAATTAGAAGATCAAATAGGATCTATTAAGGATAATATCGAAGGATTATTTATTAGATATTTACTAACCGCAACCGTACACAACAGC